GCCAAACGAACTTCAAATTTAAAATTACTAGGTTCTTCTAATTATTCTCTGCTTCATATGCACAAAATTACTCAAATCTCTAAGTGCTGACACACTTAAATACAATTTGTGAATGAAATTCACCCTAATCTACTGTTAACAGGTGTATTAACTGAGCCCAAACACCATAATAGTCTACAGAAATCAAGAGTGAGATTGTAAAAAAATAGGTGATTGGCAACAGTAGTTAAGGCAATTGTCTACCTGTAGACAGCGAGAAATTTTTAATAAAACACCCATTCCAAGACGGAACGTGGAGCAGTAGGATCAAATTTGAATGATCTAAAAGTGATACTAAATTTGAATGATCTAATGATGTAACCTGACTTGCAACTGCTGATAAATTTGAACAAATCATATATACCTATTTAATTTAATAGTATTCCAATTACTATAATTTTCAAAATGTGGTAGAGCCTACAATTATATATTCTAAAAAATTTGTAAAATTAAACGATAAAGAAGCTAGAAGGTAAGTTTAATAATTATATTACAATTAATAAATGTGCGAAAAAGATAATTGGTAATTTATTTACTAATGTAAGGGTATGTTTACTTGTAGAAAAATTTGATTAGTTTTCTAGAAAAACTGAAAAATAGAGTTTTGCGTTCAAATCAGTCAGCTTTCTATTTGGAACATTAGAAAACAGTTTTTCAATTTTTCAAAATTTCCAAAATTTAACTAAATTTAGAAAACAGGTTTAAATTGTTTTTCACAATTTTTCTTTACAACAAAAGATATATTTTTCAACTGTTTCCATTTTTAATGAAATATTTTCATAATAAAAAATATAATATCTACAAATAGTTTTTTTAATGAAATATTCTCAATAAAAAAATAAAAAATATTTAAATAATACGAAAAAATTATTATAAGTATACTCTATCCTTTATTTTCAAAAGAACAGTATACTATATCCTTTTGAGTTTCAAAACCGTTTCAAAAAAATAGAGGAAGAGGAGAGAGAGTTATACTCTATCCTTTATTTTCAAAAAATTTTCAAAATGATAAAAATTGATATTATTATTATTATAAATAATTAATAATAAAAATTCAAAATTTTTTAAATAAAAAATTTCTAAAGTTATTTTAAAATATTTTATTTCTTTTAATTATGAAAGTTATGAATAATGTATCTGAAGTTTTTAAATTAAAATATAATTTTTTGGTTGTTACCAAGTGCACACTTTTTTCATTTTTTATTATTTTCTATGTATCCTCCCCTCATAATTCCTATTACATGATTTAATTTTTCATAAAACTGGATAAAGGCCCGAGCTTTGCACGGATTAATTTATCAGTTTGTAATTTATAATTTATAAACGATAGGTACTTATAATATATAAAATGTACTAATTTATTTTTTTGCGGGTTACTTTATTATATTACCATGTTATATATAAATTATAATTTTGTTAATTTATTTAAATAATTGTAAATATCAATTAATCCTATCAAATTTTTAGTTATTCTATTCAAATTTTTTACTTAGAGTGTTATAATTAATGGAATACAATTTTCGCTTTAAACACTATTTATCTTACTTATAGAGCAGAGTACGTACCGTCACTGATATAGTCTACGAGCATATAAGAGACTATTCATGCAATTCATATATAATGGGATGAATAGATATATGACAAAAATTTTGTAATAATGTTAATTATTTACACTGATACAATTAGTAATTTTGTAACTTATAAAAAATGCCAATGAAAACATAAAAGAGAAAAAAAAGAAGAAAAATATATAATTACAATGAAAACATAAAAGAAAAAAAGAAAAAAATATATATACACCAATTACAAAAAAGTCAAATTATCTATATATATATATATATAGAATTAATTTCAAGTAGATAAAATAGTAGCAAGTACATCTGACTTATGTTTATCTACACCAAGATTTGCTTACTTCAAGTAATTGTTTTGGAACTGATGGCTACTTTTTAACTATTAAGTGAGTAAACTTGTGCCTGTTGTGACTGCGCTAATGCTTGCTCTAGGTATTGCATTGGGGTTAATGAAGCAAGTGCAATGATGACTGTGTTAAGCACTCTTGTGACCGCCTTGGCCTGGCCAGCAACTTTACTCGCGGCTACTGATTTTATAGATAGCACTTGGACAATTGCTATTGACAGGTTAGCTTCTCTTATATGGACAGTGATTGGAATACTTAGTTGATTGAATACTTAGATCTGGGCAGATAGCATGGAGCCTGAAAATAAATGCTTCCAATTTCCACAACACTGTCTGTTTGCACACTTAATAGGCACTCCGAATTCAGGTTGCCTATATGAAATTGTTTTATATTGTAATAATGCATAGCGTGGCTGGGATAGATGTAATTATTCGGTGTCGAACTGGGTTTTATATTTGTACTGCCATTTTTCTAGATCAGACAAAGCAGGGAAAATTGCTAGCTGATGTGTTATTGAAAGGAACTGCAAGGGAAACAGGTAATACAGTTATAATTATTTCGCATAATATTGTGATCCATTTTAAGTGCTTCCGATAGTTGAAAGATAAAGAAAAAATAAAAGCTCACTCTCTACTTTCTAACTCCTAACAAATAAAATAAAAGTTTACTCTATTTCACTCCTACCTTTGACTTTCTGCAAATCTTTCAGGCCCGTGACACTTGTGGGTTACTCACTTGGAGCTCGAGTGATTTTCAAGTGCCCTGAGACTTTGGCTGAGACTGAATATGGTGGTAATGTACATTAGCCATCCTTAAAGTGGGATGCAAAATCTTAGTGCAATTCTTATGCGATTATTCTGAACTTGACAGCTGAACTTGTTGAACGAGTTGTTCTTCTTGGAACTCCTATCTCTATTAAAAATGAGAAGTGGGAAGCAGCAAGAAAGGTGATTGGAGTTCCATCATTGGAAGCATCCTTTGCCATTTCTTCACGAATATTTTTCTTGCTGCATACTTTCTGCATACTTTTCTTTATCCTCTGCCAAATGGCTCAATCAGTTACCGGAGCTAGCTTTTCCAGATGGTGGCTGCGCAGATTTATAAATGCGGTATTCTAGGAAACGGCTCGATTGGACAACTTAGAGTTGACTTTTGTCCGTGGCGGTTGAGATGGCATATAATTGGAGGGCCCATATGTGGGAGAATGTTTCTGAAAGATTGACCACACGATAGTACCGCCGTGTGGCATAACTGGAAATGCTATCACATGTCAAAAGTGACGCTCTCAAGCGCAAGTGGATAATTTCACATATCCATTAAAGGCTTATGAGTTTTGAGGAATTTTGAGTTATGAAGCTGGTCTCTGTCAATAACTGCAGTATGACCTATGGAGTTGTATTGGCTTCAGTTTTTAAATTGTTTTTTGGAAAACTATGGTTTGGAGGAAGCTAAAAGTCCAACTTTATTTTGCCCCATGATTATGTTTTTTGAGCTAAGGCATTAGGAAACAAGGACAGTCCCTGCCACAAAGCAGTCCTATCACCACGCGCCGCCCATATCTTAACGGTACTAAGAACCATTATCCGATCGTCACCTAAAGGCAAAGCAATAATAAATAACCTTGTTGGGCTTGAGGGTTCTTTCGTATATCTTTGCCTTACAATGAAGAAATGATTACACTCATATCTATGCTTGCGAGTTACAGGCTCGAACTCTTTCTGTATTGCTGGGCAAGCATAATTGTATTAGATTACTATAGAGCGTACAATTATTCTTGTGGATGATGTTATGTCATTGTTCTCATGAGAAGGAACCATTATATATCTGGACTTAAGGAAACGGAGGGTGTTTAGCAATAGTTGTGATGGGAGGCTAATTGATAGTTTTGATCCTTGGGACAGTCGGTCAACGATGCTTATTTGAGTTACAGTAAAATCAGGGTGTGTGGTGGTAGAGGGCAGCTCTCTTTACTCCAAAAATGCTATCTACAATTGGGGTAAAAAAAAATCTGTTTTATTAGCATAAAAAACACTACACAAGTTAAATTGAATTTCTGTTAATTGAATTTATTTATTGATGATTTACATTATTATTTGATTTGTATACCTTAGGTACTCATTTGACATCTTAACAACAATTAGCAGATTTTACCGAATGGTTGAACATTTATTAGCTTCTAGCTATCAACAATTGCTACCAACTATTAGCTATTAGCTATCACTAATAGCTAATCTAATGTACCCCTAAATATTTATAATGCGATTAGCTATGCAACAATATAAATGGCGATTGCCATTAGATTTTCACATTCCTTACTTGTTTATCCTGTCATTAGTCCCTTTTTCTGGTCAAAGCATGTTAGGCATTATATGCTGTCACTGGTTAATAATGAAAGTCCAAATCCTCTTGAGTAATTCATAAAATCCTCTGAGTAATCTCATTTGTGCTAGTAATAATTTGAAATGTTTTCTTTAACTGGCTGGGTGAGGAACAATTAGCACTCTTTTTTTTTTTGGGTAAGAGAGCGTAAGTATGCAGAGAAAATCGTTTGTCGAGAGAGTCTTTATCAAACCATGAGAAAATGTTTAACGTTGTATATTTTAATATAATATATATGTCAACATTGAGAATGAAGATGTTAAACTAATAGTGTTGTTTTTCTTAACAGTCTTTTTTACCGCAAGCATTGGCCCGAATTCACCAATTTGATGTTCATCAGGGAATCGGAGAATGGTAAGGGTTGAGTCTCGTTCTCCAACTTATCTCTCTCTACTCTCTAACTCTCTGCTCTCTCGTTGTTGGTCCACGCTATCAGTGCTCGCAAGTTTGTGTATTTATTCTATCACACGAGGAGTTTACAAAATAATGAAATTGTAGACTTTTTATGCTTCTGCACGGTCCGATGTTCTTGTTCTGTGCAGATATTGAAGGTCTCTCTCTCTCTCTCTCTCTCTCGTTCTTCCCCAGCATCAGTGTCAATTTTTTTTATTCTATCAAAGAGAGTTTAAAAATATGATTGTACTTTTTTATGCTCTGCAGGTCGATGTTACTGGTATTATTGAAGGCCACTCTTCATATCTACGGGCTACACAACAGATTTTGGAACAACTTGAATTGGATGCTTATTATCTTGTTTTCAGAAACACAGTCCACCACCGCAAATAGAGAATTTCTGGCAAAATGTTTTTACTCCAAATTCAAATTAGACTTCCAATTCTTGATGAACTCAAGATTTATGATTTTGCTTTAGAAGTTTGCATCTAATTGTGGGGGAAGTCATGTTTCTGATTGACCTAACGCGGGTTTCTCATGGTTCTATCTTTGTTACTTTTCTTGTACATATTATAGATGAGAAGAAATACATTGGTTACAACTCTATTAATGGGTGATATATGGACATCTCTCTCTGCTAGGTCGATGAACTATATACTTATTCTATCTTATGAATTTAGTCCATTTGTATAGTGAAATTTAATTGTCAGAGATATGTAACTTTAAAAATTAATTTACTAGTAAATGTTATAACGTTCTAAATATTAGATCTGGGTTTAGATATTTTTTCCTTGGTTGATAGAGAGTTGGTTTAAAGTAATGCAATGGAAGTAAATGTTTCTCCTTTTATTTTTAACTTGTTTTTGTATGGATTTTTATAACCAGTGATTGGGGAATTTAGAGTTTGGATTTTGAGGTTCGTTATCCTCAATTATTTTATTTTCAAGTGATGCTATTTTTAGTGTGTGAATGAGAAACAAGAGTGATTTTCTTTTTTTAATTTTTTATTTGTTCGTTGTTTTTTATTTTTCATTTTCACACACATACACATATATATATATTCGTTCCTTTGTCAAGAATGAAAGAAGTACAAGTTTTAGCATAAATATTTATTGATTCTTTTCTTAACTTGATGATCAACACCAGCAAGATAGAGGAATAGAAAAAAAAGCATTCATCTTTGTGGATATAATTAATATTCTAATATCAAAATACAATCAACTTAACTACTAAGGAACATAAGATGCTAAAAGATATTATATTGACTATAATGATAGTTAAATTTCGAATGAGATCTTAGCAAGGAAACAGAACATATTATCAAGATCGAAAATTCAAAATAGAGAAATGGAAATATCACTCGAGAAGGATAATCAAGAAAAATCAAAATTCCCAATCATCATAGCAATGAAGGGTCCTTCAAGTATAAAAAAGAGCGAAATATCTCGTAAAATAGCTGCATTTCTTCAACATCCTCTAATTGATGAAGAAGATATCACCCCTTACCTTCAAAATTTCATTCCAAGCTCCTCCATTGAATCTTACCTATTGCCTCTCAAATATGTTCAACCCAACTCGATTCAAAACTCGGAGTTATCCTCAATACTCCACTATGTAATAATACCCAATTCCATGATTTAGTGCAGCTTGCAACTTCTAAAGATGTATCTCTAATTATCATCGAGTGTAAAACTGAAAGCTTGCAACTTCTTGAAAGATGTATCTATTAATTATATCGAGTGTCACAAAACTGAAAAAGAATCAATGGTTCAGGCCGTTTGGTCCAGTTATGAATAGCTATGCCCAAGTACCAAAAATTGAGTATCAGGATTACAAAAGACTTTTTGTGTAGAGGACTTTAGTCGCAGAAATATGTGAAGGCTATAATGAAATCACATCATCGTCAAGCCTGTTGATGCAATAGCTTCTAAAGGTTAATGTGAATAATATTGAGACCATACTTTCACAGAACGAGACATCGCACATGAATTTTCAATGCACATGAATTTTCATTCATTGAAGACCATTCCATTTCTAGTTTTGAGAAGCTCAAATGCAACTGTTGCCAACAACTCATTTCTGGTAAAATCTATAAGTGCGCTGAATGCGATGAATTCATCCTCCACAAAGCTTGTGCAGAATTAAATGACAAATTAACTGATTTGAGGAAAAATTGTCCCCCTTTTCTAAAAAACGTGCCATTTGATTATGATTTTCCTAATCAATATAAATGTAATCTTTGCGAAAAATTCTCAAAATTTTGTTCTGATTGCCTACTTCAAACCCATATTCAAAGTACATTTTTACCCACTATTATTAAATATGAAGGTCATGTACACGAAGGTCCATGTACAACGCTCTATAATTTTTAATTATAATGCCACTCATGGGTCAATTTTCCAAATCTAGAGGATGCTCCTATAATGTGATAGACACACTCGGAATATCTCTAATAGCTAACAAATGTTATGAGTGTAATTTTTGTTCCAATTCAAATGCTCGAAATGTGATAGAATCGGAAATTCTATTAGCTACAAATGTTATGAGTGTAATTTTGATCTTCACGTCGATTGTGCTTTGCCGCCGCCGCCGACTCGGCTGCGGCTGCCGCGGCCAATGCTGCGGCAGTGGCCGCCGCCGCTGTGGCCGTAGGAGCTGGACCGGCAACTGCTGCAGCCACTCTAAGGGAGGCGTGCCTTCGGTTAAAAGGATCTCAGTCAAAAGGAAGATAATTCGAGAAATCTCATTCTACATCTTTATAGGAAGGGAGACGACCGATCAAAGATTATGTTTGGTATTTTTTTTATATTTCCAGGTTCTGTATATAATATATATGTATGGATTTGTTATGGGGTTTGCTAAGTAAGCTCTATTTTCTTTCTTTTATTTCCTTAGTGTCCTCTTTTTTCTAATTAATCAGTCTTTGCAACAAATGAGAAAAAAAATCCATTTTTGATTAGATTTGCTAAGGGAGAAGACTTGCAGTAATATAATTAATGTAATGCAACGAACTTCAAATTAAAATTATACACGTGCAACGAACTTCAAAGTATAATAATTATTGTTTCTTTAAATTTATTACTGCCTTAATATGCACCAAATATTTTCAATCTCTAAGTGCTACAACTAACGTACGGAATTTGAGGAAAAATTCACCACGCTATATGTACGTACAGTTTGATATTAACTGAGCCAAAACACAATAAGTGGGGAGTTACACAAAATCAATCACATCTGTAAAATATATGATTGTTGCTCTACGTGTAGGCAATTCGATCTACGTGTAACAAGAATTTCTAATAAACAGTAGTGATTCACGGAAACAGGAGCAGTAGGAGTCTAAATGATGTGGAGAATGATCTAATGATGTAACCTGCTTGCAATGCGCCACTGAATATAATTTGACACGGTGCAGTCTGCGATAATCATATATACGATTAATTTAATTTAATAGTATATCAGCGATATACTAATAATGATCAGCAGCGCATTACGCGCGCACAATTTTCACAAAATGTGGTAGAGACCTAATCATGTATATAATTCTAAAAAAATTTGTAAAATTAATAAACGATAAGAGAAGCTAGAAGGTAAGTCGTTAATGTAATTATATGAAGGTTTGTGACAAGTAATAAATAGTGCGAAAACATAGATATAAGTGTGGGTTTAGAGCGGTTTTATCTATCTCTACACTGTTATCTAGACGCGTATGGTTTTCACCTTCTTGTATGAAAATATTGTGAGTAGGAATTAGTTGATTTTATAGAACTGTAAAGAATATAGAGTTTTGTGGTTCAAATCAGATCCAAGAGAGCTTTGGTGTCTATTATAGAAGAGAGGAGAGAGTTCAGCTGTCAGCACGAGTATTCCAAGAGAATATCAGCCAAAATTCCACAGAATCTAAAAATTGTAGAAAACAGGCATACACACGGACGGGTTCAGGTTTAAATTGTTTTGTAGCACAGCAAAATTATTGGTTATTTCTTGTCTATGATGCAGACAAAATTATATGTATTTTCGGACGCTGGTGATGTGCGTCTGATTTTGTAATGAAATATGCATTTCATGATAGAGACTTAAAGTTATAATGTATCTATGACATGATAGAGTGGTTTTAATAGTAATAGTTGTCTAGCGTTAAACACAAATACGAAAAATATTCTAAATGATACGAAAAAAAATATGATTAGTGGCCGGCTTATTAATATATAGATAATTTATTATTAATAGATACCAGGTATAACCTCCTACGTACCTTTATTTCGTTTCGCAAAAAATTTACAAAAAGATAAAAACATTGGATATTAATGTATCTATTATATGAATAATTTAATCACACTCGCACCACTCCAAAATTTAAGTAAAAAATTTTCTAATATCTATTTTAGAATATTTTTATTTCTTATTAAATTAATGAAAGTTATAATATGTATGTGAAATTCTTCAATTTAAATAAAAAATTTCTAAATTTATTTTAGAATATTTTATTTCTTTTAATTATGAAAGTTATAAATAATGTATGTGAAATTTTCAAATTAAAATATAATTTTTTTATTGTTACTGAGTGAACACCTTTTCCCTTTCTTGTTGTTTTGTAAGTATTCTCACCTCAAAATTCTTATTACACCGTTTAACTTTTCATAAAACTAGATAAAGGCCCACGCTTTGTATCGATTAATTTATCAATTTATAATTTATAATTCATAAATGATAGGTACTTATAATCTACAAAATGTACTGATTTATTTTTCCGCAGGTTACTTTATTATATTACAGTATTATATATAATTTATAATTTTGTTAATTTATTTAAATAATTGTAAACATCAATTAATCCTATCGAATTTTTAATTAGAGTTTATAATTCAAACAATTTTAAACACTGTCTCGTATTCTAGATAATTCTATATAAATAAAATTCTACAATTCAAATATTGCAATGTGACTAATATCAACAAAATTTTGTATAATTTAATTATTTAATGATACAATATTAATTTTTAAACTTAAAAAAATCCAATGAAAACATAAAAGAAAAAAAGGAAAAAAATATATATACACCAATTACAAAGCCACGAATATTTAGATACCTTAAAAAAAATCTGAATGAAAACATAAAAGAAAAAAAGGATAAAAAATAATAATACACAATTCAAAAAAGTCAAATTAATCTATATAAAATACCAATTACAAAAAAGTCAAATTATCTATATAAATAGAGAGAGAATTAATTTCAAGTAGATAAAATAGTAGCAAGTTCAACCGACTTATGTTTAGCTACATCAAATTATCCTCTAGGTGAAAGCCTGTCATTTTTAAGAAAATTATTCTGAATACTTGGAGAATTCATATCTACAAACAAATTATT